AGTTTTTGAAAATGGGTTTTAATAATAGGTCAGAAGCGGATATTATTAATGAAATTATTTCATTTTTGTGTGATAATAATATTCCTAACATATTATCGAAAAATAAGCAAATTGAAAATTTTGTTTATAAATGGTCAGAAAAGTGGAGGAAATGTAGTTATACTTGGAGCAGTTTTATTTCCAACAATTGTCTCTGGCTGAATAAAAATTTACTTCAAATGGAAGAGAATCAATCTTTTGATGACCCTGGCCCTTCAAGAAGAATTTTTTCAGAATTGTCCAAGTCCCAAAAATAAAAGAGACCAAAGGTATATATTGCCAAGGAATTAATTTATAATGTCTTACAGAAAAAACATGTTTTTTTATATACATAATGCTGCAAATATTGCATTAATGCTTTTAATTAATGGCAAAGATTAAAAATCAATTTATTTCTAGAAATTAGAGATTCTTACACCTCGGAATCTCGTTTCTAATTTAAGGAAGGAACATAACAATGAGACGGGAAAAGCAGTCTAACTAGGGTTTAAATTTCTAGAGAAAGTAGTCGCCACTAAAAATAGGTGAAGATTTACCCGCAGATGACATTCATATGGCAACAGAATATTATTGTCAATCAGATAGCGAAGAAGAACTAGAAGAAAGTGGTGGTGAATCATGTCATGAAGAAAATGAGTTTGAAGACTCCATTTAACGCATATTGCAATTTATGTTTTTTTCTTTAATTTAGACCAGCTAACCTAATGGGTATTCTTTTTTTGACTAGGTTCGAAGCATTTTTCAAACCTTTTTAAAAACTATAATTTTTGAATAAAATTCATAGAAAATCACCCTTTTTTAATATTTTTATGCTAAACAAACATCAGTCTGAAATATATTTTGTTTATTCCTTGGACTATCTTTGTCATGTCAATAAATCCGCCATTAAACCTAATAAGAATCATTCAGTTCAACCCTTGGAAATATAAAAAATTCAACAAAACAAAAAAAAATCACTAATAAAAATATAAAAAAAAAACATGAAAGCGCCAGCTATCATTCTTTTTCCCCTGAAGCCATTGCGTCGATGTAGTTATTACCTCTATCCTCAGGAAGGACATTAGATGTTGGATTTTGGTTGGTTTTTCAGGAATTTGGTGAGATGGAATAAGTCCCTGTATTTTGCAGCGTTTAAAGAATGTTTTCTACTGTAGGAATTCTGCTCTTCTGGTAGAAGTTCCAATGCCTCTGATGAATTTTGTAGGCTATTTTTCTTGGTGCTTTTTGGTGGTTGTTTTGTAATTGGAGAAGAATAGTCCCAAAAGTACCGTATGATCGAAAACAAAACGGCATCCAGTTGGCTTGGAATTGAACATCAATGACATAACCCATATAATATTTTCAATGAAGATTCTTTTATTTTCAATGCATGATGAATAACGCGCGAATGCTTATGGGATTCTTCCCCGGTATTGCAAATATTTAAAATTTTTAATTTTGAATGCAATGAATTGGGGTTTCCCTAAACATTGGAATTGATTCTACACCTTCAAATCTACCGATTGGCTTGTATGGTGTATTTTCGTCAAAAAATGGAATGGCGGTGTTTTGTGGTGAATAAAGGGTATACAGCGGTACCCTTCATCTACTTTTAGACAAACATTAGTGTAAGGAAGACCGGGTAACAATGAGACACTTTTTTTGTTATGAGGTTTAGAATATTCAAAGAAGACAAAATGTGCTTTTACTGAATTTTACGGAAATGTACGTTGTATTAATTATGAAAAAAATATATAAAAGTTTAGTTTTATTCACACAGATCATTTTATTTATTATTTCTCTAATAGGTTGTATATGTCGCACTGTTCCCCAATATAGACACTGCAAGTGGAACAATGAGACACATTAAAATTAGACTGCCTATGTACTATTAACAGTGCAACAAAGCCGCTTATTTTATGAGATTTTCGGAAAAAGAAAATTTCCATCTCATTTTCTTCATTCGTCTCGGTCAGAATCTGTCCAACATAAAACACACCTTTACCAAATTCAACCAACACATAATCTCCCTTTTCAGGTGGTTTCCTAACGTACTCTGTTAAATCAATCTCTTCATCTGATGCATTTGATTCTGAGACACTGTCATATGAGTCAGTTTTGTTATCATCTGCGAAAACGGCTCGCTTCACTTGCTTCACTGAGTTATGCGACGGCTTACCACCTTTAGTTTCTTCCAAACGCTGCAGTTCAGGAGTATCGGTAGGTATGAAACTTCTACCCTTTTTCCGGCGCTTTCGAATTATTTTGCGTTCCTTTGCTTTTGGATATCCTTGAAACTCTTTAAGTGAAACAAAATCTTTTATTGGGGTTTGCGGTTCGAGTGAGCTTGATGATGTTCCCGGTAGCTCTGGATTGGCAATCTCTGAAATAATAGAAGGATCAGGACGATCAGTTACTTTGCTTGGTAAAAAGTCAACTTCATTAAAAACATGCCTGGAAATGCCTATCGAAAGGATAAATTCCTGTTTTTTTGAAAGCGCTCTGAATATTTTCTGGGGTCATAGCTTTTGCGTGAGATATTCCACAACACATTCTGCAACATTATAAATTGAGAATGTTTTCCTTGGATTTCTTGTCATCCATGAATCATGAGCAGCTCGATAATAAGTCTGAAACGGACCAAATACTGCTACATCAAGGGGTTGCATTTTATTGCTCGAATGAGGTGACAACGTTAAAAGTTTAACACCAGACCTTTTCGCCTGTCTTATTGCATCCAATGATAAATGGCTCTCGTGATTATCGAATATTAATAATGTAGGATTATCTGTAGAACTATTGGTATGCGGAATAAAATGTCTCATGACATCAATATAAAGTGTTGCGGTCATCCAACCCGAAGGTTGGGCTAATCCTCAGGTACCAAAAGGAGCCCCAGCAAGCATATGGTCTTTAAAATGCACTCTTGGAAAGACCACAGCCGGTAGAATTGTATTTCCAGATGCACTCACGATGCAGCACGTTGTAACCATCTTCAAAGTTTCATCTAGATTAAAAATTCTACTGCCATCTGCGAGTGCTGGATTTTCGTTAAGGATCTTATGTAGATTGTCAAAAAAGATTGAAACTTTATGCGCATTGAATGAAGTAGCACGCGATAAACTGCCAAACCAAACCAAACCAAACCTTCTGCTAATCTCAAAGACAAATTTCTGTGTCTGTGCATAAACCCAGCTATCCACTCAATACCGGCAATTTTCAGTTGTTTCCACTTATCAGGATCTTTTATATCATTTCTAGCCGCCATTTGGTATGCCAGTTTTCTTACTTCAACCATGGATAAACCATAAAACATTTTGGAACAAGTCAAAACATATTCTGCCAAGCTCTCTTCTTGTTCTTTGGAAAAAAATTTATTAACGCTATAGTTTGGAGTCATTCTAATTATTTGTCCAACATTTTCTTTTTGTTTTTTTTACGTATCTTGCCAAAGTAGCATGCGACAGTCTTGTTTCTTTTGCCACCGAACGAGTAGATCTTCCGTCGAGCACTAGAGTAACTGCCTCCCTCATAGCTTCTTCAGAAAACGAACCCTTGATTGATTTTCTTTTGGGAAATCTGGGCATTTTGGTCTGCAAGAAAAAGGGACTGCATTAAATATAACAGTTCCAGACGAACCGAATGAGAGTTAATAATTTTGTAGCAGATATTAGCAAAATATTACAGTAAAAATCGCATATTGAAAAAACTTGACAATTTTTATTCTTTACATGTATTTTTTTGTGCGTACGTAAATATAAATTATTTTTAAGAACTCAAATGTTACCAGTTTTTTTTAGAGAAGAACTTTTCAAATTAAATATAAAACTTTAAATCGTTTCTATATTTATGCAGTTTGGGTAACAATGAGAGACGTCTTATTGTTACCCAAAAAGAACTGTCTGTACATTAAAATAATCCTGATCTAAATACGAAAACTTACCTTTAACAATCCTTACGTATTGTCAAAAAGTTATGGTCTATATTACATTAACACACAAAAAAAAATTGAATTTTCACACACTATTTTTTAGTTTTAACGGAGCTGCGAAGTTATTTCAAGCTAAGAGGCTTGAAACAACTCTTCCGACTGACCAAGAAGGTTAAGGCAATAAAATAAGAAAGTATGCATGTTTTGCCGCTTTATACACAGATGGCGCAAGCCAATAGAAATCAATCTGTCTCATTGTTCCCCGTGTCTCATTGTTACCCGTTCTCCCCAACGTTAATATACAAAAAATTGATACATTATTTTGAAATCAATGCTTGTTAATATATCGATACAAATATTTCTCAAGAAATCGATATGTACAATATACAATAGAACAATAGCAGGATATTAAATATAAATATGACAAAGTCAAAAGATGCTTGAGTGTTTTATTTAAAACTATATTATCTGTAAAGAAGATAATACAATTTTAGGAACAATAAAATGGGGTTTATGAACTGATCAGGGTCGCAAAGCTTTAAATTTATTGTTCTTTTATTTCTAAAGTATAAAGATAAAGATAAAGAAAGTGAAGATTTCGCCTGACGTTATCCAAAAAAGGACCGAAAATACCGTACGATCGAAAAGAAATCTGCTTCAAAGACGGCTGGGGAATGACAATCATGATAATTTTGGCAATGTCAAGCCCTAGATGTCATTGACTTGTCGCGTACTCTTCTTTATTTTTTAATGGCACTTACTACCAATGAGCCTTAAGCCTTAAGAAGGTTGTAATTTATTTCTTTATTAAGTAAAAATGATTTTTAAACGGTGTACTTCAAAATTCGAGAAAAAATACTTTGTACAAAATAATTTTGTGTCTGGAAACGTTCTGTACTTTTTTAATCTTTTAAGATTGATCTCGACAAAATTCTTATCTATTTTCATTCCCTAGCCGTTTTTGACGCTGTTTTTTTTTCGATAAAAGGATACTTAATTTTATAGAAATGGTATTTGACAATAATAACTGTTTTGATAATTTTATTTTTAGTGCGAAATTGACGGAGAAGTTGAATATGAATTTCCCATTTATAATCAGATAGAAACAATTGAAGGATTATGGGATTGTGACGATCCCAGATACATTTCAAAAAATTCGGTCTACGGTGGTTTAAGGTTCTATACATCCTCAGGAATTTTATGTATGCTTAAGCCTATTTTTAGTCATGTACAGGTAGCTAGATTGTTGACTAATTCACAACAAGTTGTTTGATTGAAATCCCACTATTTTAGATAAATTTACGGAAAACTTTATTTTCATTATACAAATACAACGACAGCGATCTATACCAATGGAATACTGGATCGAAAATGTGCAATCTGGATTTAGAAAGCATGATTTTTCTGGAAGAAGACCAGAACGAACTACAATTCATCGAGATTAAAGTTAGAGGACCGCCTGATTCATCGCACTGTTGTTTCTTGCATTTTTTGGAGATTATTCGAAAGACTGTTGAAGACGTAAGAGAAAAATACAGATGCTGAATCTTTATCACATAGCTTATTCAACACTTAGCTATATACTTTCTGGTCACCTGCTTTGAAGTGAGAAAGTTAATAAGAGTAATTGTTTTTCTAGCCATTGGTTGATCTTCTCGGGTTCATGAAACCTAAAAAGTCAAAAAGTTCTCTTTAGTCAAAAACCTAAAAAAAATCATACCTTCAATAGTAGGTAATATTTACGATTACTATTAATCTTACATAACTGTAAACTTAAATAATTACTAATAATCTTACATAACTGTAAAGAAAAAACAGTGGTTTTCGAAATTTACCAAACATTTTTTTTAATTTCAAAGTTTACAATTTTTATTTTAATTATTGTTTGTTTGTTTTATACATATTAAGCAAAATAAGGGTCAAATTCGGACGCTTTAAAGAGAATCCTTTCTATGTGGAGATAGACGAAAACTAATATCGGTGTCTGGAGCTCAATTTTTATCGAACCATGATGCAGGAAACCGCATATCGATATCTGTTACCGTTTATGAGTTACGGGGTGTTTAAAAATGTGCATTTTTAACAATTCGCTTAAGTTTTTTGCTATGGAAAATTTTGTATTTTTATGAAAACACTTCCAAAGCAATATTTTACGTAGAATTTAATTGTTTAAGTATATTTTTTTTTTAAATTAATAATTTAAGAATTATCAACAGAAAATTTGATTTTTTATACGGGACACCCTGTATATTTTTAATTAAATGAAAAGTAATAACAATAAAAATTAATAGCAGACCAGGACATGATATTTTGCTACAGGTGTTTGATATATCGACCGTCTTGTGTTATGGACAGCCGGGATCGTTTTTAAACATTTCTCGCGGAATTCATTTCGCGCAATTTAAAAATAAGAACCTTTATTCTTTCACAAAGATACAAATCCATAGGCACTAAGTCCGGCGGCCTCGACGGCCAACGGCTGGGATCTTGGTTAGCTAATCAATTATTCTCGAAATTTGCTGAAAAAGTTAGCTGATAACTTCAGCGTTCTGAGGCGGTGCCTCGTCTTGCTGGAAAAATATGTTTTCGAGTTCCGTTAGGGGCAGATCATCAAAAAGGCGTCCAAAGCCTACTAGTTAAAAGTGGAAAACTTTTAAAAATTGTGTATTTCGAAGGGGATTATAACAAAATATCAAGTGTGCTATATTTTTGGAAAGGTAATTTTAAGTTCTTTTCATTTAATTAAAAATATACAGGGCGTCCCAAATAAGAAATCAATTTTTCTGTTGATAACTTTTAAGTTATTAATTAAAAAAAAAATAAACTCAAGGCGTTAAATTCTACGTAAAAAGGTGCTTTGGAAATGTTTTTATAAAAATACAAAATTTTCCATAGCAAAAAAGTTACAGCGATTTGTTAAAAATGCACATTTTTGAAAAACGCCATTTTGTTTTCGCCATGTTTCATCATGTTTTTGATAAAAATTGAGTACGAGACACCGATATTAGTTTTCGTCTATCTCCTATAGAAAAGGGTGTTTCCCTTTAAAAGCGTACAATTTGACCCACCCTGTACATATAAATTATTTTATCAATTATTATTGTGATTAGTAAAATTAAAATAAAATTCCAACGAGGCCGAATTTAACAAAATATCAAGAGATAACTTTTAATTGGCATTAAACGGCCTACACAATTTTGATATTAAAAGAAAAAAAGTCAGTGGCGCACATGTTTTTTTTTGGAAAAATATTCCAGTAATAACCCATGTGCACGTCCCTGATGAATTTATCCACACATTTTTAGCATTAAAATATGTAATACTTATATAGTAACTTTTACCCTTAAAATTTCATTCCAATCACTAAAAGTAGGTTGAAAGAAAATTATAATAAATCGAACATATTTTAACACCCTGTAGCTACGAAACAAAGCAGAATCGGACCTATGTTGATATGAATTACATGAGGAATCTCCCTACGAGAGATGGCACATGTTTTTTGAACTTTGAAACACCCTGTATATCTCAGATATTAATAGATTTAAAAAAAGTCCGATTTATACTATATCTCCGAAACTAAAATTTCATAAGAAGTTAAACTATGTATCTCTACAAATTCATTTACCCAATAACATGTATAAAAACACATTTTTATAAACCCGTGCCTCCAATAGTTTCTTGGTAAAAATTTAAATTTATTGTCCGACATTATTCAAGAAAAAAAATTGAACATATATAAGACTAAAAAAATATTTTTATTGCTGTTAAACCTAAAATATCACCCAACCTGGAATATCAGAAATCGTAAATTCATATGCAGAAGGGACGGAAAAGGTTAGTCTACCTCGCCTCCTTCTCAGCCATTCTTCCCAGAAATGGCGAAGGCATAATAATTTACGAGTAATCCGCCTTTTTTCTTTCTTTCCCGAAGCGAACCAGTCGGTCAGTTCGCAGAAGTCGCCGGTGGAACTGAGAGGAGCGAACCCTCTTCAAATTTGTGTTCTTCTACGAAGAGCACGGTACCGAGTACTTATTCGGTACCGGCCATTCGTTGTTCACTTCGACGAATTGGCAGAGTCGCTTAATAAGAATATTATTTTCAGTTTGAAATAAAACTACTCTGTTAACACTGGGCACTATTGTCTTTATTTTTCTAACTTATACAACTAGGGACATTTTGGATAGTTATACAGGGTGTCCCAGGCTGAGCGTGCATTAGAAGTTTCTAGAGAACTACAATATCTAGATTGGAGATTTTTTGCACATAATTGTTTTACAACGAATCTATGGATTAAAATATTTTCAATATGGCGGCACTTCCGGACATACCGGAAGTTGACAGCAACTTTCTTATTTTAAATGGGCGCCCCCATTTTTATTACCTACATACTTAAATTATCTGTAAAATTCTATGAATATTGCTGTTATACCTAACATTAACCGCTTTTGAGAAAAACAAATATTTAAAATTTTTGGACGAAAAAACTACCTGTTAAAAAAAAAATTTGATTAGCCTAAAAGTCAAATTTAGTGATTACCACAGCCACTGTGACATAAAGAGAAGACATGTGGTAATCTATTTCAAAAAATTAAATTGTTCAAATGTCATAAAAAATGGCGGTAGCTGTCATGGAATTGAGCGATTAAAAATTATCATAAATCATTTTTTCAAATAGAAACCCACTCTTTTATTTCACTAATGAAAAGGTTTTTCAATTCGTTACTTTATACATGTTCCTATACCTAAAATAAATCGTTTTTAAGTTATTTAAGACTTAATTTGAAAACGTATATTTTTCTTGGTTTTATCTAGCTTCTTTTGACATTAAGTGTCAAACGGTCAAAAAATTTATTTCCAGCTGTCAGAAAACGAATTATTTCAATTCTCTATATTATAACTACTATCTGCATAAGACTAAGAGTTTAAAAAGTGTATTTATAAAAATATATCTCGTATTTATTTAGTGATATCTAAAGTTGATATTATTAATTAATTAATTAATTAACCTAACAACGCAAAGTTGGCTTGGAAATGATGCTGCTTTTTGAAGAAAGCGTCACAATATGATATGGCCCGATCTATTGTTTTACATTACTTGATGTTTAAAGTCATAGGTTGCTGGTTAAAATCAAGAAAAATATACGCTTTAAAACTAAATCCTAAATAACTTAAAAACGATTTATTTTAGGTATAGGAACATGTATAGTCAAAAAGTAACGAATTGAAAAGCCTTTTCACACAGTGGCTGTGGTAATCACTCAATTTGATGTTTAGGGTATACACATATTTTTGACAGGCAGTTTTTTTCGTTCAAAAATTTTAAATATTTAAAAAAAAACGGTCAATGTTAGATATAGAGTGTTTAAATCAATATTCATAAAATTTTACAGAGAATTTAAGTATGCAATAAAAAATGGGGGCACCCATTTAAAATAAGAAAATTGCTGTCAACTTCCGTTATTTCCGGAAGTGCCGCCATATTGAACATATTTTTAATCGATAGATCTCGTTGTGAAACTATGATGTGCAAGAAATCTCCGAGCTAGATGTTGTAGTTCTCTAGAAACTTCTAATGCACGCTTAGTTGGGACACCATGTATAAACATCAGAAAAAAATGTAATGAACCACTCTATGAATAAACCCTACAATTGTAAGTTGTAGTAAAATGGTACTAGGCATCAAGTTGTAGCTTTTATTTCTATAAATTTATAGATCTCCAAAATAGTTAAATACAGGGTGGTGCGAACTGTATTCTAGTGGAAACTTGGCAGAATATTCTGCAGATAAAAATAAATAAAAATGTTCGTGTATCCTAAAATGCTTAGTTTCGGAGATACAGGGTGTAGAAGTTTTATTTTTATTTCGATTTTTTCAAATAATTTCTAAATTAACATAAATATTTGGATGAAAATAAGTGTCTGGGAGTTTTTTGAAATGGGAAAGTTGATTTTGATGTCAATATGACTCCTAATTGTAGGGGGCGCCACCTACATTTGTTTTAATTGTTTTGAAGAGTAATAACTTTTCGTCCGCACTTCTATAAAACTGTTGTGAACATACATTTAATATGGTTATATGTATATGTATATTCGACAAATTGTATAAAATATTATTTTTACCCCATACATTGTTATTATTTCTGATCAACATGACACAAGGCAGAAATAAAATCACCAGAACTATTTCAAAATTTGATTTTTTTTTGATGCCCTACCTTTTTAGCAAGCGCACTACTTGTTTCGATCACCTGTAAACACCGACTGACATTGGGCTTATTACCCACCTGTCAATAAATGCATCACAACAATAGAACCTTTTAGAAATTCCCAGCCTATTCTATATCCGACCACCCCAATTCTTCAATGCTTGGAAGAAGAAAAAACTGCACCTAAACTATTGTTTTTGTTAATTTTTAATTAATTCTTCAGTCATTTTGTATATTTTACAGTTTTATAAGTTCTTTACTAGTTTAGATTGATAAATTTAGAAGAAACTGTTGAAAATCATTGTAATGAAGCAAAGCAGTATTTTACAGGGC